ACACCAGACTTACGATATAGTTAATTGATTGCATGCTATGAATAGGAGACTAACATAGAGATACCTTGATTTCGGAAGTATTTCCAAAGTATCTCTATCTGGTCATAATCATTATGTTCTCAATAAAATAACGTTCTTCTGAGAACTAAATGGAATCGTAACTGGAAAAATCTGCTTAATTCAACTATTTCTAGACATTATACATTCGTATAAACCATACATTGACGCGTACCAGAGTATCTAGAACATTTTCCATATACACAAAGAGATACCCTCTTACGTTTAAAACAAAGGTATCGTTTCTTTGATGCAATAAAAATGGCAGCGAACCGACAGTTCGCCATAAAAGTTTATGATTTCTTTTCAATTATTTTAATCTTACATATGAACGACTTATCCACGGGTAATGTTAGAACAAAACATAAAGTATGTAAAACCAGACCTCCATATTTATTTACTTTGTCTTTTATCATGTTTTAGCAATGGATTTATAATTTATCTAATGTGTGTTTTATATGCCTTCTGTTTCTGGTTGAGTCAAATCTCCTTCTGAAACTCAGCGGGAAGGAAATGATTTACGTGCTATTAAATCGTACTCATCAGTAATCATACAGAACAGTTATTACACGAGAATTTCGTGCTAAATGCTCCGCGTAACAACGCATCAACCACATAAGTGTAGGTAATTGTGTTTTATGATTCAATATAGACAAAAAGATAATTAAATGACAATATGTGACAGTATGAATTATAAAGCATGTATTTGAAACATCTAAAAAATATATCAATAGTGTAAGACAATAAGCTTATAATTCTTAGTAACAATTTCGGGCCTTTATGGGTGTCTGAGCATCCAAAACTGACGATCATGTTGAAAAAAAAAAGTTATTAAATTACATGACATTTAAAGTTGGTAAAATCAGTTTCTTGCCTCTTGCTTCAAGAATGTTTCTCAGTCACTTTCTTTACATTTGTACATGAACTACAACATATTCCACTAGTTTAAGCGATCGAATCGCAATATTGATTGAAATGTATTCTTCTTATATCTAGCATTTTATAATATTTTCACGAAGTGAAAGCCAGAGCAAACATGATAGCCAAAAAAAAACCCCATGTGTTTCAATATTTGCCTCCAAAGCACTCGTCTTCCTCATTACTTGCTCATCATTGGTTCCACATGCGTTAAGTGTTGAAGAATGAATACTGCATACTAGGGGATACTCTTTAATATATTTAATTTTATGAACATATACAATCAACCAAACTCTGCAATGTTAACCTTTGTTTTCTGTGCTCTAGTCGATGAAGAGTATTCGTATCTTTCCATTTTTAAAGCATGTTATTCTTATTTTAAAACGTCTCTAAAGCTAGAATCAATATGTAGATATTTTGTGATAGATAAGAGTTGAAGTGTCTTGTTATGACATATTTGTCATACCCACCACGGCGCTTTGTTGCTGCAACACTGCTATCTTAATTCCTAGCTCGCCACCGTGGGCTAACTTAACTATACACCGATCGATAGTCCTTAAAATCATGACCTCAACAATGTTCTCTGGTGAGTTTTGATTTAGAAAATATGTTTTGATAAAAAATATTTTCACCCATGCAGTGAATACCTTCTGCCAATAATAATGATAAACCATGTCAAAACAATGTCCGTTTTAAAAAGTGAAGAAGACAGTTATTATAAGTATATTTTGTGCCATATGATATGTCTCGAATGGGCCAGCCTAATGGTGTTTACACAATATAGACCTTTTGATTTTGCTTTTTGCGTTGAAATAATTGCTTTATCATGTAATAGTGAGTTAATTATGAAAAAACGTAAACCCCACCGTCAAACGGCACAAACGGTAAGAGAAATATGCAGCCCATATTTATTGGAGTATTTTTATTTAGAAAATGACTTGAATTATATCCACAAGGCTCTTGTGTACCGTTTGAAACAGAACTTAACGTTGATCCACGATACATTTGAAAAATTGACCTCGAGGGATGAGATGATAATTCTCTCAGATGAAGTGAGAGAAAGCTTTTCATCACCGCCAGACAACAATAGTCAAATGATATTACAGCAAAATATCGCTGTAATATCATATGATAATTGCAGCAAAAGCAATTCACGATTCCAGCAAAAGGTGCCTGTCGGGCTTTAACTTTTAAGATGTTCAGTGCTGCTTTCAGTTAAAAAATATGATATACTGAAGAAATTGCTCTGAGAGCAGACTTTATGTGTTTACTTTTCTAAATCATTTGAACAATACAATGTTATGGAAAACATACCAAAGTACATGTATTTGCAAACACAGTTTGTATTTGAACAGCTCGTAAATAATATAAAAGTTACACAGTCTTGATAATATCTTATAAAGCCTTCCGTCACTTTATTTAACATTTCGTTTTGTTTATTTAAGAATTTAAAATTTATTGAATATTGGTTTTTTAGTGTGAACAAGCCTAGTTATGGTAGTATTGTCCAGTGACACAGCAATGCAAGCATGGCATATCAACACTGGTAGAACGTTATCTTCAGAGATAAAGGTATTTAGGTTTACAAGGTCAATTCTTCACCTGTCATACGGGCGGACTAATCATGGTTAGATTTGAGCGGAAAATTTGTCAATTTTATGCACCGAAGATGTGCTGTTATGTTTATGTTGTCGATTATCGCCCCTGTTTCATATCAAATTTGAACAGATTTTGAAGATAAGGGGGCGAACTAATGGTGGACCGTTACGCGCCTATTGGTTGCCGTCCAGAAAGTATTAATATATAAACAATTATATAATGTAGATGAAAACATTTGAATAGAAATACATATTTTATTTTAACTGTTAAAGTCGTATTATGCATGTTATACATTGATTCTCCACTAAACGTGCAAATTAGAAAATATTTTGTCCCTCGATTATATTTTGTTGCACTGCAGTTGAAAAATACTTTTTGGGCATTCTATTGCTTCATTACATAGTCATGTATGTAAAGCATTCAAATTTCAAATTAATGACTTAGTCTGTTGGATTTATACGAAAATATCATCATGGAAAGGTGCTGTATAACCCATTATGTAATGTCCCCAGGCTTGGGTCCCATATATTACTGTTGGTTTTACATATTTTCACCTGAAACATGTGTTGAAGAAAAACTGCTTTAGCATTAAGTTTTAGTTTAAATGTCTAAGTGAGCGATTTTTATTGTTTTCTACAGTGAATTTGAAAAAAAATACCAGCTGAAATGCATGTCCCTCATATATTGAACAGATACGTTACCAAACTTCAGGTAAACCTGAGTAAGAGTAATATGAACTTGTAACATATTAATAGTTTGCTATTGAACTCAAGTTTTATCATATTTCATTATTCAAAAATAATTTTGACGACAATATACATGCTAGAACCACAATGACTTTGCAATGATGAGGCAATTTGGATTATACTTTAAAGTGAAACAGATACGTTACCATGATATCCCACTGAGAAACATTTACTATTACCAGTACTTAAAAGTAGGATCGCATTTATGCATTATTCAAATATATGCTTTACAAAACTTAATATTTCAATATATTTGGCAAACATGTGTGTATATCTGATATATTTTAGTTTTTTGACCAACAGATACGTTACCAACAGATACGTTACCAATATTTATTGTTTGAATCTTAATTGACGATTTTGCTCAATTTTGAAATGGTTTTATGTAAAAATTTACAGAATAACGTACGTGTAGCCGATAAATGATGCTTTGATCTCGATTTTATTGGAAAACTGAAAATGTGAATCAGGAATTTGAAATTCAAGGATTAGTTGAGTTTTCTAGAAAATAAAATGTTGAAAAACAGGAAAGAAACATTAGAGATTTACTGTTTTATTTCCTGGAATAAATATATGTTGATATATTTTTGGTTTGCAAAATTTGTATTAAAAATAAAATGTAGAGGACTGTATAACTTCTGGTAACGTATCTGTTTATCATAGTAACGTATCTGTTTAGAAAGAGATTTGAGTACTGTTTAATATATATAACTAAATCTTCAACGAAAAAAACTTTGGTTTAAATAAGTAATACATGTTGTAGGAGACATGGCTAGGTTATTATGCACTGAGGTTTAAAAAACAGAAACATATAAATTTTAATTTTTATTTGGTTGCCCCTTCGTTGGCCTGTCAGAAGACAGATTTAATTGCTATGTGCCAAAATTTTGTTTATATATCGTTCATCAAAAATGCTCGTTAAACCCTATCCATAAGCGGCAAATCTAATTTTGGAACCGCGTCTAATATAAAAATTAACATTTTTAATTGGTCAAAAATTACAAAATTGTATATTTTTAGGAACAATACTCATCGGGCACGTCCCCTAAAATCGCGCACCAAGACCGCATTCGAAAGGGCGACTTGGCGAGCAAAGCACGCATAAATGTAAATTGTTAAATTTAATGTTTAATTTTCTAAGTGTTTTGGGATAAAAATTGCATTGTTCAGTAAGTTCACATTTTTCCTTGTATTATTTCAATTTATAAAATGCATTTCTATTTACATTTTTGTAACCTTTAAAATATTTAAATAGTTCTTCAAAAGACAGAGATATACTATTTTTAGTTCAAAAAATTTATGTTAAGGGCATATTAACTTTAAATTGTTATAATCGAAGTAATTCTGTTTGCTTATTGTTATTTACTGAAATTCATGTATTGTTATTGTAAGTCGGTTATCATTGTTTCAAATAACCGTTTAACTAGCTGTTTAGTAGGATTATTGTTGTCTACAAATAAACATAAGAACGAGTATATTGCACTGCAGAGTTTTACTTATCCCACGAACGACTTAAACGACTTTTACGGCTGCGCCGCGCACGGGCAGTCCCGTACAGTTATTGAACATTAATCAATTCCATAGTGAGAAGGATATTGAAGGTCATCCCAGAAAGTGAAAAGTTATTAAACACTTTCTTGGAATTGTTGACCCCAGTTATTGAAAACTTATTCAGTGAATATGGCTTCGGCAGAGAATCCAAGCGTTGCGGAAAAAAGAGCAAAATTAAAAGGATATAAATCAAGACTTGCTAAACTTTCGAAGGGTATGAGTTTACGCTTGAATGAGAAAGACAGTATCTCATATGTGCGTGATTTAAGGGAAGAAATAAATGAGTGCTGGAAGGAATTCGAAAATGAGCATGACAATCTAGAAATATTCTCACCTGAAGAACGATATGAAATTAAACGCTCACGCGACGTCACAAAGGCAGAATTGGAGTCATTATTAGTACGAGTTCAAGCATATATTGCTTCAAATAAAGATAGTTCGGCAACTTCAGTGAGTGAAAATGGAGGAAGCGGATTAACAGAAATCTCAAGATCATCCTCGAAGAGAAGACGTCAACTTGCACAGCTAAAATTGGATCAGACAAAAAAACGTCACGAGCTGCAGAGAAAAATGCAAGAGTTGAATATTCAACAGACAGAATTGCAGCGAGAACTTGAACTGCAATCAGCTCAAGACCAGTTAGCGAGGTCCGAGTTGGATGATGAAAGCGACTCTGGTTCGAGCCCGAGCGAACGCGTCCAAGAATCCGTTTTGCCTGAAAAGGCATTAAGCTCACAGGAAAAGGTGCAGGAGTACGTCGATCAACTCGCACAGACGAAGTTAGCTACAGAGACGGAGCCACTTGTACAGAGACCTTTTTGTGATGCAGAACTTTTCCAAGGACTTAAAGCAATGACCGTTAGTGTGCAGGAGAGTCTCAACCTGCCAAAACCTGAACTGTTTACATTTAATGGAAACCCGTCGGATTATGGTAAATTCATCTGTAATTTTGAGACAAATATAGAATCAAGGGTAAATGACAATAGGTTAAAACTAAGCTATCTAATTCAGTTTTGTCAAGGTGACGCTAAGCGTAGTATTGAGGATTGTGTTGTGTTGCCGACCGAGGAGGGATTCGAACGAGCGAAATCGATTTTAGAATCTAGGTATGGTAAGCCACATTTAGTTGCAAGATCACATGTAGAGAAATTAATCAATGGCAACAGTATAAGAAATAATGACATTAAGGGTCTCATGAATCTGTCTCTTGACATGGAAAAATGTCAGATCAATTTATCACAAGTAGGGTTCATGTCGGATCTTAATAACACTGAAAATCTAAGAAAAATTGTTCGCAGATTACCTTTTAATATTAGGTCGAAATGGGTCGAGCGAGCAAGCCGCTTAATTGAGCAGGGAATCGAACCATCATTTGATGATCTTCTTACCTTTGTAAAAGAGAGGGCCACAGTTGCAAATACTATGTACGGCCATGACCTGCATTATGAGTCAAAATCTGTTCAAGTTAGGAAACCTCAAATGACCTCTCCCCCGCGCGAGAAATTTGTAACTCTATCCACTAGCTCTAGCAATAAATTTCTAGGTAACGGTCTACCACAGAAACGCTCTGCGTGTTTATCTTGTGTATACTGCAGAGAGGGTCATAAACTCATTGATTGTCCGAAGTTTAAATTGATTGACCTTAAGGAAAAGTTGAATGTTGTCAGAATGCACAAAATGTGCGAGAACTGTCTAAACTTTAAACACTCTGCTAAATTCTGTCGCAAAAATAGTCTTTGTGAAGTTTCGGGTTGCAAAGAGAAGCATCATACTATGTTGCATGATGAAATTAGGCATGTTGAATATAATAATGGACAGAGTAATTGCTGTAATGTTTCACAGTTAGGTAGTAAACGTAATCGGGTGAGTTTACGGATCGTCCCTGTAGTAGTACAAAATGGTAACAAACAGGTGAAAACGTACGCCTTGCTCGACGAAGGTAGTGACGTAACACTCTGCAGTGATGAGCTTGTTAGGAAATTGGGAGCCGTAGGTATACGCCGTGAGTTTACTATTACAACAGTAAATCAGTCTACTGAAAGGAAAAGGGGCTTAGAAGTACAGTTTAAGGTAAGTTCTTTAGATAAAAGGGAAACCTTAGATTTAAATAAAGTATGGTCAGTGCGTAAAATGCCCATATCTCTGGATTCATTGCCCGATCGTAGAGAGGTAAGTAAGTGGAGACATTTAGATGGTATTGACTTACCGCAGATAAGCGAAGGGCAAGTTGAACTATTGATAGGTAGTGATGTACCTGAAGCCTTCTGGGTAGAGGAAGAAAGGCGAGGAAGAAGAGGCGAGCCTTATGCTATACGATCGCTCTTGGGGTGGAGCATTATAGGACCCGCAGGTAAGAGTACACTGCAAACGGCTGTCAATGTAAATTTTCAGCAAAGCCTGAGCGTGCATGACCAGATTGATAAACTATGGAATACCGATTTTCCGGACATGAAACTTGATAGTGGTGTAGGCATGTCGCAAGAAGACCGCCGTGCACGCTCATTGATGGAAAATTCGATTACTCTTGAAAATGGTCACTACAAGTTAGGTCTCCCATGGCGGGACAAGGGTGTTCATTTACCAAACAATAAATCAATGGCTCTCAAACGATTCGATCATTTAAAGAGAAAACTTGGTAAAAACGAGGAGTTATACACCCTTTACAAGAACACTATGGAAGGCTATATTGAACAGGGTTATGCTGAACGGTTACTTGAGACTGGTCTAAACGATGATAGGCGCGTGTGGTACCTTCCTCATCACCCTGTGATAAATCCAAAGAAACCTAATAAGGTAAGAATTGTTTTCGATTGTGCAGCAAAGTTTAGGGGCACTTCCTTGAACGATAACTTGCTGCAAGGTCCCGATTATATGAATAGCATAGTCGGGGTACTTATGCGTTTTAGGCAGAAACCTGTAGCCTTAGTGGCCGATATTGAGGCAATGTTTCATCAGGTAAAGGTCAAAGACAGTGATAAAGATGCGCTGAGGTTTCTATGGTGGCCGAATGGGGACATTAGTAAAGAACCGATAGAATACTGTATGAACGTGCACCTATTCGGAGCTACCTCGTCACCTAGCTGTGCTGCATTTAGCCTGAAACGTACAGCTAGAGATAACTCTCACGCATTCAGTGATGAAACCGTCGGTACCATAGAACGTAATTTCTACGTCGATGATCTTTTGAAGTCGGTATCTGACGAAAAGGTAGGTATTAAACTTGCCCGTGAACTTAGGGAAATTCTCTCTTTAGGCGGATTTAGATTAACCAAGTGGGTTTCTAATAGCCCAGATGTATTAAGTTCGATACCCGAGACGGAAAGGGCTGAATCTACTACCAGACTTGACATTGAAATAGATGCAGCGCTTGAGAAGACACTTGGGCTACAATGGTATGTAGAAAGAGACTGCTTCGTTTTTGATGTCAATTTGCAAGACAAGGGTTATACAAGAAGAGGTATATTGTCTGTAGCAAGTTCGTTATATGACCCATTGGGATTGGTCGCACCTGTTACTCTGATACCAAAATTAGTATTACAGAATGCTTGCAGACAAAGATTAGGCTGGGACGAAAAGATATCTGAAGCTGATGCAGAATGCTGGTCCCACTGGCTAGCCAGTCTGTCGGAATTGTCAAAGGTGAGTATTGAGAGATGTCTAGAACCGATTGCGTTAGATAGACATTCTACTAAGACTGAGCTTCATATATTTAGCGATGCATCGGAAAAGGCGTACGGCTCAGCAGCATATTTAAAGGTGTACGATGCATCTGGCAACATCAAATGTAGTTTGATTATAGGGAAATCCAGGCTTGCTCCAATCAAGACACTGTCCATACCGAGGCTCGAGTTGGCTGCAGCGGTGCTGGCAGTCAAGTTGTATCAACTCGTGACTCAAGAACTGGACATAGAAATTCATGACACCATTTTCTGGACAGACTCTATGATCGTACTAGGCTACATAAATAATGTCAAGAAGCGTTTTAAGACGTTTGTGGCGAATAGACTGTCATATATACATGATGTTACGACGCCAAAGGATTGGAGGTATGTACCGTCAAAGTTAAATCCTGCCGATCTTGCCTCTAGAGGATTTTATCCTTATGATACGGATAAACTGTCATTCTGGTTAAATGGCCCAAACTTTATATTGAAGGACCGAATTAGTTGGCCAGAAATTGTTACGAACCTTCCTGTTTCTGATGGTGATATCGATGTGAAACCGGAAGTAAATGTCAATCTATCACAAGGTAAGCAATGTAAGGAAATCAATAACTTACTAACCAAATATTCCAACTGGCACAAACTTCAGCGAGCAGTGGGCTGGTTACTTAGGTTCAAAACTTATCTTGTAAAAAGATACTTGCGCGGTAACAAGGTATCTTATGCTGCATCAAAATACCTTACCATAAATAAAATTAAAGCAGCAAAATCCGCTGTCTTCAAGCTACTACAAATAAAAATATATGAAAACAAAATAAGAAGTGTCATACAGGCAGGTAATGTATCTAAATCAAGTTCACTTGTCAGATTAAATCCGGTATATACCAATGGTTTATTAAGAGTAGGTGGGCGATTACAAAACTCGCTCATCAACAAAGCCGCTAAACATCCTATAATTCTTCCTAGCTCTCATCATGTTACCAAAGTCTTAATAAGGAACTTCCACAAAAGGAATGCACACATGGGTACTCTACATGTCCTCTCTCTTATAAGGCAAAAATACTAAATTGTTCAAGAACACAGAGCGGTAAAGTCTGTATTGAACCGGTGTCTTGAATGTAAACAAAATAACCATCGTCCTAAAACACAGCAAATGGGTCAACTACCAAAAAAGAAACTTATGCCTAATAAAGCACCATTCACGTACGTCGGTGTCAATTATTTTGGCCCAATGACCGTGAAATCCGAAAAACGGCATTTAAAAAGGTATGGTTGTTTATTTACTTGTTTAACTACGAAAGCAGTGCACATCAAAATTGCCCATAGCTTGGATACTGATTCATTCATCTGTGCACTTCAACAATTTATCGGCCGTAAAGGCAATCCTAAAAAAATCTTCAGCAATAATGAAACGAATTTCGTGTCAGGTAAAAAGGTATTAAAAAATAGTATTAAGCTATGAAATAATGGTCAACTGACGAAATTCTGTCAGCAGCGTAAAATCAAATGGCATTTCAATCCGCCATATGCACCACATATGGGTGGCGTCTGGGAACGGCTTGTAAGGTCCGCCAAAACAGCATTAAAATCTGTCATTCGCGAACAACTTCTCAACAACGAAGCGCTGTTAACCTTGGTGGTAAAGATAGAAAAAATTCTCAATAATCAACCAATCACTCAGGTAAGTAGTGATCCAAGGGATCCGGAGCCTTTATCACCCAATAAACTGCTGATAATGCGAACAAACGCGTCCTTTCCACCAGGTCTGTTCGACAAGCATGATATCTACTGTAGGCGCTGGTGGAGACAGGTACAGTATTTAGCAAATTTATTTTGGAAAAGATGGACGCGGGAATATTTATCGAATTTACAGGTAAGGCAGAAATGGTATACACAGCAGAGAAGCGTGGCCGTCAACGACCTTGTACTTGTATGCAACGAGCCTTCGTTGCGGGGTCAGTGGCCTTTAGGCCTCGTTCTTGATGTAAGTAAGGGACGTGATGGACTTGTGCGGTCATGCAAGGTAAAAGTAAATGGCTCAATTAAGGTTAGACCGATCACAACTTTGTGTCTGTTAGAACGCCATGTCCTGTAGTTCGTTGTCGTAGAATCGTATGTGTATTATTAGTATATTGTAGTTATAAGTATATCGTAGATAGTTTGTGTATTTTGAAGTTGCTGTTTAGTGCCTCTTTCTCGCAGCCTTGTCTCCTTAAGATTGCATAATTTGAATGAGCTCTATGGAAGGCTCATTGAGGGGCGGTGTAGGAGACATGGCTAGGTCATCATGCACTGAGGTTCGAGAAACAGAGACATATAGATTTCAATTTTTATCTGGTTGCCCCTTCGTTGGCCTGTTCAGTGATACAAGTACATTGGAGAATTCTCTTAATGTACCGTTTGCAGGTCTAAACTGTGTCAAAATCTTGTTTATATATTCGATTCAATAAATTTTGTACTTTTTACGCTCCTGCGCGGTGTTGCAACCATCGAATGCCTATCCACACAGCGTAAGCGAGCGAGACTATAGCAGTACAGGCAAATCCTAACCTTATTCTGCTATTATTTCTCCCGCCGTTTTTCCCATCTCTCTACCCAGTTATAAATGAGTACATTTAATAATTAAAAACATTTTAATTGGGTACCTCAAATAACTAAATTCAACTCAATTAAAATGTTTTATATTTTAAGTTTCCCTTTCGCTTTATATTTGAACCTATACCTCATCGGGCCCACGTGGTACCCACTTTCACCTACAACCCATATCTGTCAACCACCCTAAGTACCGGCATCCTACAAGGCCTGTACTTGGCGATGCACACCACTCATAAATATGTCTACTGTGTAAAAATCTTTAATACTGGTTTTAATTTTTCTAAGTTTTGGGCCAATGAATAAAAAAAATTTTCGAGAGGATAAATTTGGCCTACTTAGTAATATGTATCACCCTATCTGTTACTCCATTATGTCTTTTTTATTAAATTTTAAAAATGCCGTTTTCCTTTTCATACTTTACAAAAAGTATTATCTATACTGCATAACTCATTTAATATTATCAAATGTTTAGTATTCCTTTTTTCCAAAAACAGACCCGCAGTTTGATCTATATTTTTAGTGTAGTTCAAAATAATAAATCTTGAATTTATAGGCGTGCCTTTATTTTAATATATAAGTATGAACTTTTAATAACGACGTATACCAGTTATTCAGCACTTTCTGTCCCATGACTTTTATTTTGTTTCAATATATACACATAAGAATTAATTTAACTGTCGAGTAGATTAGGTGTTTGTATCGTCCGTTAGTTCTAATCCACTTTTCAAGAATCTAGACCCCGATCTTAAAACTAAGCCTGCGTTACGTTTTTTTTTATACCATATGTTATTTTTTGACTCCTACAACTCCTTAGTAATAAAATAAAAACGATTTAAATTCCCACTTGCCAATAATTCATGTAAAGCCTTATTCCACCGATCCACAACTTTAAACATACTTTTACGCTCCGCTAGCCTGCTCAGCGCTTAAACGTGACCCGTCTCAACGCTCATCAGTGTAAAAAATACATAGTAATAACAGCAATATTCTTTGTTGTATTGCCAATAATATGGACGCACCTAGTAAATTGAATATGTAATTAATTAACAACTAATTTAAGAGAGAACACGTTATATATTTTTCAATCATGGAGAATGCCACACCAGTTAGGTTTCTAAAAATTATTATGCCCAATGCTTTTTCTGTCCCTTAATCCAAGACTAAACTCCTCTCAATAAATGCGTAAATAGACCTAGAAAAACCTACTTACCAATTTTTTTGTGGCCCAGATATTGAGCAGAGAATGTTGTGACAGCAGCAGTGTATATGGAATGTTGTTTAATTCTATAAAAGTGTTAGACGTATTGTCCTTATTAAGGCACATTTTGTTGGCATTTTCGACAACATGTAACTTTCCTTAAGTTTAATTAATTTTAACTCTTGGACAATTAATGAAGTTATGACCCTGTTTTCGCACTGTTACTGACTATTATTTTGATTAAGATGTACGATAGAATTAACATTACGAGATATCTATCATATCACCAGAAGATAAACACCAAACAGCAAGGAACCGAAGTTTCTGTGGGATTTAGAGCCCGAGAATATAACAATCTAAGAGATATTATAATGAATAAAATAATCTAAGAACATTGCATGGCAGTAGAAGATATAACACCAATATCCTCAGCGAACTGGCAAGTTGCAAGCGGTATGAGTATTCATTATTATGTAGAAAACCTAATATAAATTCTAGCTAATAAACATTATTGACACAAAGAAGAATGCGGAACTTTTATTATTCTTTATCTTGAGTAGGCTTCCATTCTATGTTCTCTTAACGCAGTCCCACCAAATTGTATTGGTATAATGCTACTAGTTTGCGCCCTTTCATCATAAAACTCTACAAAAAAGGCTAAGAAAAGAATAATTTAAATGATGATTATTGATTTCCTCGTGCGTTAATTTAATAAGCTAGTACAATTGTACTTCGTCCAGATCCATCACCATAAATTAGAGTTAAGATATCACCAGGTTGATATTTTTAAGACAGTTAATCAATTTTTTTAATCCACTAATCTGTGTATCCCAGTAGGATGTGTCCAATATATTTAATGTTGAATACAGAACACTTGAATTGATACCTTACCCCTATCGATATTGTTTATTATAGATTTCCATCCTTAAGCAGGTGTATATATTCATGTCAAGAGACAAGATTTGAACTCTTTAACTGTTAATATTTGTATTAATATCGACTGCTATGCCTATTGGTACCCATAATTTATAAGTTATGGAACATTTTAACAATATTATTTATTGTCATCCTTATAGATGGGATGTCTTACCATACCTAGATTTTAATTGTATTGGTTGACACTATGCTTGTAATGTATATTATTCTATCTTAACATGAAGTGATCTTCATCCAGCTTGCCAAATCTCACCCAACACTAATCCTGAAGAACGTAATAACTAACGTTCTTTATTGAAGCGATGCGACAACTCTAATTTCGTAAAACTCTATAATCAGTAACTGAATTAGATACTTAGATTAAAGTGCCTACTTATTGCCTGTGTATAATAGTGAGTCGCTTTTCTAATTCGTATGATATGATTCCTAATGTAAATAATATTCTATCAGTCTATAGTACTACCTAAAGCTAATTGTACACAAAGTAATCACGGGTTTCAAAATAGTAAACAGTTTTCTATTCTTGTACTAATCCTCGCATTGTTGTAACTTAAAGTATCTATTTGCATGCCACAATATTACATGATTTATTGGTGATAATAGTTATATAACCAGCTCTACTTTGGGTATACAAATGTCTGCATTACTAGACTCTACACTAAAAACAAAGTCCGGGTGTATACAATTAATTCGCAAAAATTTCATAATCGTTCCATCTCTGTATGAAGCTTAACTTGCTAATTGACAGAGTTTAAGTGAGACTACAATTCATGGCCATCATATATGAACGTTCAATGATATTTCTTAATTTTGCGCCTCTTGGTATTTTGTCTTCACCGTATTCACATTGTGATCTGTGTAAGTTATCTCTCTGGTGCTCAGAAACTCATGATTTCGCTTTTTACTTTATGCTAACTATTACTTGAACTCATATAAACTCTTTCTATTACTGAATATTTGGTGATCTAATTTGGATTCATCATGAATCGTTTTTGAAACTGCAAAAATTTATGTATTGATGAGAATAAATCTGATTAATCTTTCTTTCAATTAGACTCTTTTGTTTCGCAGTTACGTGCTTGGTTGTTATATGACGTTTAGATTTAATTTATTTTAATTATTTATTGAACCACAAATGTTTCCTGTTTGTTGCAAGTTAATTACTTCTCATTTTCTGAGATGTACCGTACTCTTGCAAATTTTTGTTAATATTGTCTCACTTTATTATATCATTCTTAAACGTGTAACCTTAGCGCGAACCTTATCTATTCCTACTATCTGAAAGGCAAAAATATACTTAAATTGCTGAAAGTCTGTTTAGACTACAATAATGAGCTCTCTATATTCTAATGTGCTTGTGAGCGTGCGACTAGTGGGAAGCGTGCGTGTCCTAATATTCCCAAATATATAAATTTTCTATAATGATGGGTGAAAAACTATAATTTTAGAATTGTTAGTGCCTTAATTCTCTGAATAATATAATTAATTAGAAACTGTCGTTCATAACACTTAATTGTGTATTCATATTCATAATACCTATGAAAATACGACAAGAATAATTTACTTAAGGTTTATTATTAAATACCTGTATTAAGTCTGCTTTAAACATATGTTGAATACTCGCTTACCGAAAGTTTGTAGTAGTCGATAGCTCGTGTGCAATTTATGTCCTCTATTTCTATTTATATTTATGCGATCTTAATAATTCTGCTGCAATCCACTTTCGTATTTGTTCATGTGTACTGCAGAGACTGTGAATTCATCTGCGAAAGTAAGATTTAACAAAATAGAACGTGATCTTTTTCCTATGAGAAAATAGAAAAACAATAAATGCCAAAAGAATAATCTCAATAAAACTTTCCTCACGTAATCTGACTCAAGCATAGAACTCTTCTATATATCATACCTCCCTAACCCATATCAGACAAAGTGTCAAGATTGACGTAATCTGAATAACAACGTAAAACATGTACAAGCGTAACTGCCCAAGCGTCTCGCCCAGGTTGCCTTATAAATGTCTTAGTCTAATTTTGTGTTAGCAATTTCCGCACCTTTGTTAAGAAGTTTAAGAGTTTGATAAAGATAAACCGACTATACAAAGCTCCTCGGTGTGCGAGGGTGATGTGCTCTGACACATTTTCAATTTTCACTTCAAATGTATCCGATTTCATTACCCAAGATACACTATCCTAGGTGTATACTCAACAGATTGTTGAATGTGTCCTAAGCTGCTCCAGAAACATGCATATGTGCC